ATTAAACTGGCCAAGGACAAAAGCATGGAAAACAGAAAACAATGCCAACAATGTGGCAACCACGTGTATAGGAAATGCATAACATTCAGTCAAATATGTAGAAACTGTAATAAGCCCAACCATTATGCTAAAATGTGCAGAGAAGGCAGGAAAGATTGGCTAATGAAACTATGCACAAATGGCACTTAAGTGACATCCAAGATAGACATTGGAGCACAAGTAAATATAATAACAGGAACTGAAAGAGAGCTGTAAGGAGAACATGCAAGTGGAAGGGCAAGTGCACGCTAATGCTTAAATATAAAAGAAAAAATTATACAAGAATTCATGGTGGTACAGAGGCCAACCACCAACCTTGGGTCTGCCCATATGTAAAGTGCTTGGTCTTGTTAAGAGGATAGAAAGCCAACACAAATCCAGATATGTAAATATCAATAGCATCCTATGAAGATGTATTCACAAAAAGTGGGTGTCTCCCAGTAATGTACAAGATATGGTAAAGAGGAGATGCAGAACCCATGGTACATGCTACATGAAAAGTTCCACAAGCCATAAGTTGCAAAACGTGACAGCAACTGGTATTTAGAGCAGCAGTTCCCAAACTTGTTCCGCCGCTTGTGCGGGGAAAGCCACTTCCAGCAGCTCCCAATGGCCTGGAGCAGCGAACTGCAGACACTGGGAGCTGCGATCGGACGCGGCAGGTAAACAAACTGGTCCGGCCCGCCAGGGGGCTTTCCCTGCACAAGCGGTGGAACAAGTTTGGGAACCACTGATTTAGAGAATAGAAGAACCTACAGATTGGGTTCACCCCTTAGTATTTGTAGGTAAAAAAGGAGCGGGATAACTTGGCCAAGATAAATGAAGTGAGAGCAGACATACAAGTTGAAAACAATTCACAAGTTGACCCTGTGGGCTTGTCTATATGGCATCAGCAAAGCTCACTAGAGCGGTGTAGTTTTAAAAGTGCATTCTAATGTGTTATGCTCTAACTATCCTGTGTAAACTCTGCTAGCATGCTCTAAGTTTGCATTGAAACAGTCCTGTTTCAAACAGGACTACATTAACATGAACTGTGTACCTTTTAGAGCATGCCAGCAGGGTCTACACAGAGGAGTTAGAGCACAACACATTAGAATGCGCTTTACCCCATGGCACGCTTTGCCATGTCATGTAGACAAGCCTTGAGACTGAACAGCTTGTTACAGAGAAGGATTTGACTAAAGAGGGTTTGTAATGAAGCATATAGTGAAGATTGCTCAAATGCCTTAAGAGACTGCTCGAGACATATTAGGTTGTATTCAGGCAACCTAAAAGAGTTATGTTAGTTATGGTAATTGTAATATCTTGATAGTGTTTTAGTTAAGTCAGAACATGTTTAAAAAGGGGATCTAAAAAAGGGAAAACTAAGCTACAGCGTAAGTCCTCCAGGAAGTGAAGAGATGGTTAAACTTCCTGTACATTCCAGATGCAGTCTTTGGCTTCCTGGGACAGGCTGCCTGCTGGAGCAGAAACAAAGAAGCCCAGAATGGGGCAGCGAGAGGCTGCAGCTGCACAAAGTAGAAAGTTTATAACCTAATTTCTCTTAGTAGTTTGTGTTCATAATAAAGGGTGTACCTTGAAACCAGTCTGTTCCTCATTCAACATCATCAGTATAATCTCTCTGCAGATACCTGGGCAAAACCCAAGAAAGAATATTGTCTGGCTAGGGCTGAAGATACATTCCTTCCAACCTAACTGAATTTTTTTTTTTAAATAAACAAGACTTTAGGCCAATGAAAAGTTGGGACCCTGAAGAGACTGTGCATTTGTTTTCATTGCAGTACAAGATAGCAAATACATCAGAAACATCAATACACTTAAGACTCAACTGGACAAGTTTCTAAGACAGAAATGGGGGGAAATATTCAAGAGAGATAAGGAGCAGAAGGACCTACTCCTAATTTTTTGTCAATATGTAATGCTTTAAAGTGATGGAGTTTACCCAACTGTCATTTTAAGCCTCAACCCATTATAAGGCAGCAAAAAGTGGGCAGGTGTCAAGACAGGATGCTAAAGCTCACAGATAACACCAAGGGCCTTGGTACAAGGAGGTAAAGCAAAAGGACAAGTGGGCATCTACAAGATTCATAGGACTAGTGCTCTAAACCACTGAGACAATCTGAATTAAACTAATTGTTAGAAATTTTCTCTCTTTTGCCCCTCTCAGTTTCATCGCCATCCTTTGGGGAAATGGTAGGATGATCGTTGCCAGCTGTGCTAATAGGTTCTGCTAAAGTGATCAGTCAGCAAATGGGGGTTCTGGTGGCACCAACATGACACTGTTAAAAAAAATAAATCACTTATCCTAATTAACTTTAGGGAGCTACCATAGCCAACATTTCTCTTAGCTATGCTTAGGAAAACCACCACTGTCCATCCTTCTTTTGGAGTTGTGCTGTTTTGTTACTTGGTAGCCGTTCTCTAGTTTTTTCACTCTTTTTCCCAGCCACCCAACAGTCTAGCAGAATTACGAAGGTCCACGAGAGCTAAGGATGCCAGTGGTATTGCTGACCACTATACAGTTTACCTCAGACTTCTACAGTAGCACGCATTCATGTGTGCATTTATTTTTCTCCTTGTATGCCTTTGGTTGTGGCACAACCTTCCACCTCCTCAGAGGCATCATCTGATTGATTGCACAGCGTAACTCTTGATCAGAAAGGAGAAACTTACATTTGGGACTGATCTACCCTGACAAAGGGTAAAGCCTCATGGTTTATACTTCTAAGCTCTAAAACCTGTAGCACTATAGGCTCCAGTGCTGGTATAGTTAATTCCACCTTTCATTCTTCTGAATTAGATAAACTGGGTTCTGTGCAATTTTGGGAGAGAGACTTTTTCAAAACAAGATCTTCTTAAAAAGATCATGTGTCTTGTCTGCTGTTCATGAGCACTGAAGAATCCAGAGCATTTTCTGTAGTAACAGAAGCTGGACGTAATGGGCTTGGCAAAAATTCACCTCCCTGCCCCTTGGTCACATTATGTGATGTGATGCACAAGGCACTGCTTGCCATCTGCATACCTAAGTTGGCTGCTCTTCAATGGTGCTCCATATCCAGTCTATGAAGCACTTTGAGGTGAAAGACACTGAATAAGTGTGAAGTATCATTCTGGTTGACATGTTTGCACTGCTTTATGTGACTTCCCACTAAGAAACTAGCCTTCCCGCTGGACTTTCATCCCATTTGTTAGGAGACTGCAGTTCTGTTATTGAATACAGGAAGGTTAAAACTGTGTCCACGTTTTTTTAAAGAAAGTTTCCATTTATTTCTTGATCTCATGTAAGAATAGAACAACTCCTATAAGCTGAGCATGTGTAGGATTTAAATTAATGAAAGGGACGAGCAAGGGACCAATTGGTTCCCCTCCTCCTCCAGCTGACCAATGGGTGGATAAAGCCTCTGGAGGAAGAGGGGGCTCTCCGTGAGGTACCATAGTCCTTGCTCTCCTCTCGGCTTCTACTAGGGCTGTCCCAATCACTGCCAGTCCCATCGAGTTTCTCACCTGTTGTTGTGGGGTTGGTGGCAATACACTCTCCCGTACCACCTCTGGATACTGGAAGGCAGCCCTGCCTTTCATTCCCCTCTGGACTGCTGAGACAGGGGTTACAGTTTCCCTCCTGCTTGCAAGACAATTCAGCCTTTAAACCACCAAGCGAGGAAGCACAAGGGACTTTCCATTATTGAAGAGGTTTCCTACATCACTCTCCTCTGCAGCAACCCTTCTCTCTTTCCAGGCAGCAGAGGCAAGAGGAGGACTACTGGCTATGGGTACTGTTGCTAAGCACTTGGATTTCCATCTGCCAGGGTTAAAGGATGGCGGTAGTGCTGCTTTGCACTATCCCGTCACACAACAACAATTGAGGCAGTGAGAGAGAGACATGGATCAAACTTCTTCAGAACAACAGACCCCAAGGTGTTTAGAAAGTGACCTGAAGAGCTTGCCCTAGAGGGCTAACTGAGTCAAAACACACGGGTATAAAGAAAGGTTTTTGAACTGCTAATAATTCAGTGACCACAGCATTATTTCAATCATCGTGACTTGAACGCTGCATGTATCAATGTTTGCATGTGGCCTCAAAGAAAGACAAATCAACTTATCGGCATCAAGAAATTAACTAAGGTTTGCTTTTAGAAATTTTTACTTGTTGAACAATTCTATCATTCTCCAAGACATACAGATCTGATAACAAAAATTCTGAGGCTGACAATAAACTTAACTCCTTGACATCAAAAGTTCTTATTTTTCCATCAAGCTATTAAACCTGTGATTTACTTGATTATTTTTCTAGTTTGCTAAAATTAATTCTGGAATTTATCCATTTTATTGACAAACTGACTTAGCCTCTATTCTCCCTGGTTTGCAAAAGCTTTGACCAAAAATGGTATATTCCCCAAAATGGTACATTCTCAGAAACTGGCTTCTGTCTAGAACATTGAGCCATCAACTGAAGTATCTAAAAGTGCTTGGTGGTCTCAATGGTTTTAATATAACAAACAATTATATCAGCAAAGCCTGAGAGGTCATTCTGTACTGGATTTTATTCTATGGATTTGACTGGTACATACAGTGCTATTGTAATTTACTTCAGTTGAATGCATATAACTACAGCAGTCCTTATGAATTAACACATTTGGTTCCCCATTCTCTCCTCACACCAGTGTGATTTCATTGAATTCAGTGAATTTACTCCTGGTTTGGACTGGTGAATGGAAAATTAAAACAGCATTTAAAAATAAAATGGAAGCGGGCAGTAATCATACTAGTTAACTTCCAAGCTTAATACTGCCAGCATTATCCCACTCTGGGACGTGTTAATCAAAGGAAGTCAGAATTGCAAGACTGAGGGAAATAAATAAATAAATATGAAACTAACATGACAGGTGACTGACTCCACCATGTGTTCACTCTGCTCTTTCATTGCCCTCATCCCACCTTCCTCTGGGAGACAGTCTTGAAGGGTTAATGTTTAGCTAGTCCACCTGGAAGCAGGCGGGGCACACCCTGACTGTTTCCTAGAAGCAATGCACACATTGCTCTATCCAAGGACAAGGGCTAGATATGAACCATGAGAACTTGATTGTTTGGACAGCAATTGTGGGAGGCTTTCTTAGCCTGGGCTCAAGGCCTGAGAACCAGGATTGTAGTAGATAGGGGATGGTAACTAAGTATATGAATTAACGTCACACATTCCTTTGTGTAGCAGTGTGTAATGCTTAGGGGGAGAAATATAATAAAAGGAGAAGGTGGAAGGCGGGGGGGCAGAGAAAGGCCCATCTCAGCTGACCAGCCTGCTTGCTTGCAAAAAGCTGTGTTCTGTCTCATCACTGAACCGCCACAACTGGCGCCCAAACGTGGGGCCCTCAGCACTCACCTCGCCCAGCAAGGGTTTCAGACACGTCACTCATCCGCTTCGCGGATCCTGGTGAGTATTTTTCATTGTGGCAAGTATGGGAAGCTCCCTCTCTGCTTTGCAAGTGCAACACCGCAATGAGCTGCAGTATTTGCTGCGTAAGGCTCAGCATGACTGCCCGGCTCGAGCACTTACTCTCCTGCTACAGGAGGTGTGTGCCAAGTGCCCGTGGTATCCTGAAGCCGGAAGCCTTAAGCTAGCAGACTGGGAGCGATTGGGCCAGACATTGCACAAAGAGCCTCGGGCGCCCGTGCAGGCTTTACATGCCTGGCACCTCTGCCGCGATGTGGTACAGCGTGTCGCCTCCGACAGGCCCTCCCTTGCGAGGCTGGTGATCTCACCACCCCCGTCTGCTCCTGCAGCCATCCCCCCTCCTGGAGATGCGACACAGCGTGTCGCCTCGGAAAGGCCCTCTCCAGCACCAACAGAGGGGCTGCCGATCCCGCCGCCCCCGTTCGCTCCTGCAGCCATCCCTCCCCCTGCTTCGCCCCCAGTGCCTCTATTACCACCGCCTCCCTGGCCTTCCCCACCGGAGCCGGTGTGTGATCACCCTCCCCCCGTGGGGCCCCCCGGAGGGTCATCTGCATCTGCTCAGAAGCTTTCGCTGGTGCAACAAATGGTTCACGCGGCGAAAGCTCGATCAGATCTTACAGCGGAGGAGCTGGCTGATCTGGTCTCCGTTTGCCCGGTGACCTGGCAGAATGATGACCAGGGCAACCCCGTGGGCACCTGGACCACTTTGCCATACTCGGTGGTTAGAGAGGTAAAGAAAGCAATTCGTGAATTTGGCCTGACTAGCACCTTTGTGCGTGGTCTCATTGAAGGGATGGGTACTGGGTACTCCCTAATCCCTGAGGATTGGAAAACGCTGCTGCGCATGATGTTATCACCTAGTCAGTATGTTATTTGGCTTAGTGAGTATCGGCAGATGGCAGAACGCCAAGCTCAGGTACATGCAGGGCACGGTATCATTTATGAGCAATTGGCAGGGGAGGGCCCGTTTGCTACTATTCAGATGCAGTCTCAACTCCCTCAGGCCGTCTTCCCCATTATTTCCACCTGTGCCCAGCATGCTTTCAAGAAGGTCCCGGATTCAGGCAAGCCTACCAAAAGCTTTGTCAGTATCCGTCAGGGTGCCTCAGAGTCCTTTTTGGATTTTACCAACAGATTGCAGGAGGCTATCCTCCGGCAGGTGGATAACACTGAGGCAGCTCACGAGCTCCTGTTAAAATTGGCAGTTGAAAATGCAAACGAGGATTGCCGCCGTGCTCTCCAGGCAGCACAAGCCTCTGGTATTTTAGAGCTCTCAGACATGCTGCGGGCGTGCCAGAACATTGGCACACAAGCCCACAAGGCTGGAGTTCTGGCTGCCGCCCTCAGAAAAACTGGGAAGGAGGGGGAAGCGTTGTTACCGCTGTGGTAAGGAGGGTCATTTTCAGCGGGAGTGCCGCTCATCTAAGGCACCAGCCCGACCCTCAAAGAAGTGCCCCAAGTGTGGGAAAGGTTATCACTGGGCTAATCAGTGTCGTAGCGGGTCGGGAAACCGCGCGACGGGTCCCCCCGAACCCAGGGCCAAACGGGGGTGTTTCCTACTCAGGCAATCGCTCCTCTGCCTTGGAATCCGTAGACTCTATGAGGGCGGCGACTGCTGGAAGTGCAGGGCTTGATTTGATCATGCAGGAGGACACTGACTTTCGGCTGCCAGGGGAGGTCTGTGCCATACCTACACAGGTGACGGGACCTCTCCCTGCCGGCTTTGTAGGTCTTGTTCTCCCTCGCTCACATGCTGGGAAACAGGGCTTTTTTGTCATTCCAGGGGTCATTGATGCTGATTACACTGGCATTATTAAGGTTCAGATGTGGACTCATCTTCCACAGTCGCTCCCGCGTGGACGGTCAATTGCACAATTGATTTTAGTCCCCTATCAGGTGCCAGCTGCCGAGGATCGAACTCGGGCGGAGGCGGCTTTGGATCGACGTTGTCTCACTCGCCGTCTCACAGCGCGTCTTCTCCACTTGTTGCTCTGACAATGTCAGTCCGCCCCTCGAAGCCTCAGTTAACACTTCTCTTAGATGATGTTCCTTTTACAGGGCTGGTGGACACTGGAGCTGACGTTACGGTGATTCGTGATCTGGAGTGGCCGGTTAGTTGGCCTACGGTTCCTTCTAAAGAATTGTGGGGGATCGGGGGTAGCAAACCCGGGCGCCAAAGTTTGTCTTGGGTCACGGTCTCTAAACCGGGAGGCCATACCCTTGCTACTATCCGCCCTTTTGTGCTCCCTGTCCACCTCAATATTTGGGGCCGTGATTTACTTACAAAGTTAGACACCACCCTCGATATTAACATCTGATGGCCCAAAACCCTCCCTCACCCACCGTGCCCTCCGCCTTACCCTTGGTATGGCAATCCTTAGAGCCCGTATGGATTGATCAGTGGCCCCTCCCTCTAAAAAAGCTAAAAGCACTTCATTCGCTTGTGCAGCAGCATTTGCAAGCACAGCGACTGGAGAGCTCCACTAGTCCCTGGAACACCCCGGTGTTTGTTATTAAGAAAAAATCGGGTGCTTGGCGACTGTTACATGATTTAAGGGAAATAAATAAACGCATCCAACCTATGGGCCCCTTGCAATTTGGCTTGCCAAATCCAAATTTAATTCCTCAAACCGATCAACTTTGTGTGTTAGATTTAAAAGATTGGTTTTTTTACCATCCCCCTTTGCCCTCAGAATTAGCTGTTGTTATTTTGGCCTTTCAACCTTTTGCTGATTGTCCCTTTAATTTAATTGTGGATACCTATTATGTTTATTAGGTAATTGATCATTTACCCCTTGCCCTCATTACCCCTCAGGTTGATGCAGACCTCCTTCGCCTGTTTTTGTTTTTGCAGCACCTTTTTGCCACTTGTCATTTCCCTTATTTTGTTGCTCATATTTGCAGTCATACCCCTCTGCCTGGGCCACTCACTGAGGGCAATGCACGCGCCGGTCGCGCGTTGCGTGGTCAGGTAAATTCCCTTTTTTCTGACCCCATTGAAAGCCATGCCTTTTTTCATCAGTCTGCCTCTGTTTTGGCCCGGCAGTTTCACATTCCTGCTGATCATGCAGGTTCCATTGTTCGTTCCTGCCCCCACTGTGCTGCTGCTGCTCCTACTTTTTCTTATGCCGTTAACCCCCGAGGTACCGCAGCAAATCAGCTGTGGCAGATGGATGTTACTCATGTGCCACAATTCCGCCCCTATTTGTTTTTACATGTTTCCGTTGATATTTATTTAAGTTTTTTTTTGGGCTTCCCCACGTTGTGGGGAAGCCACTAACAAAGTTATTCACCATTTGCTGGCCTGCCTTTTTGTTATGGGTCGCCCCTGCCAAATTAAAACAGATATGCCCCAGCCTACTGCTCTGCAGCCCTCTCCACCTTTTGTGCCCGCTGGGACGTCCGTCTTACACACGGAATCCCTTATAATTTCACGGGCCAAGCCATTGTTGAACGTGCCAATCGCACACTCAAAACCTTGCTAGATAAACAATTAAAACAAGGGGAGCTGCGTCTCCGAACCTTAGGAGACATTTAACAACAAATGCATATCCTCTTGTTTACTTTAAATAATTTAACACTGAATGCAGATCAGCAGACCCCTGCGGATCGGCATTTTCACAAATCTGAGGTACTGGAAAGACCACGTGTCTATTACTGTCAGCTGCCCGATCCACAGTGGCTGGGCCCAGTACCTCTAATCACTTGGGGTCGGGGATATGCTGCTGTGTCTCTCCCTGCAGGACCATTGTGGGTTCCAGCTCGGTGTGTGCGACCGGCACTTAAACAACATGGCATGGCACCAGGGACTGTCAAATCCCATACCGGAGTTTCAGCTGACCTTGGAGGAGACCGCGTTGCCCCCCGAGTTGACAACGACGGGACGGAAACGGAGGAGGCGTAGCGTCCCAAGCCAGCCCGTGACATGGGGAGCAGTAAAAGCATTGGTCGCCGCGGCTCAACAAAGACTGGCAGCAGATCAACAGCCAGAGACTCCTGAGACTTTGTTTGTGGCGATTCTCGCCCAAATCACTGCTAATTCTGTGATGATTGTGTGCCTTTTGTGCCTGCTATTTCCTAAAAGAAGCGTACCCCTTTTAGATGATTATATTGCAGATGTTGAGCTTTTGGTTATTTTGTGTTTGTAATCATTGGGCTTATTTTTTGCTGCTGCTGTGTACAATGTATTCTTTCCTTGTTAAGATTTTGTAAAATTTTGCCCTGGAAAGCTCCCCAGGTTATGTCCTTGTCTGTCTGGGAGTTAAATAGCATGACAAAACAAATTGACGGCTACCATGAGATGGCCAAATATCAATAAATAAAAAACGGGGAGATGAAGGGTTAATGTTTAGCTAGTCCACCTGGAAGCAGGCGGGGCACACCCTGACTGTTTCGTAGAAGCAATGCACACATTGCTCTATCCAAGGACAAGGGCTAGATATGAACCATGAGAACTTGATTGTTTGGACAGCAACGGTGGGAGGCTTTCTTAGCCTGGGCTCAAGGCCTGAGAACCAGGATTGTAGTAGATAGGGGATGGTAACTAAGTATATGAATTAACGTCACACATTCCTTTGTGTAGCAGTGTGTAATGCTTAGGGGGAGAAATATAATAAAAGGAGAAGGTGGAAGGCGGGGGGGCAGAGAACGGCCCATCTCAGCTGACCAGCCTGCTTGCTTGCAAAAAGCTGTGTTCTGTCTCATCACTGAACCGCCACACAGTCTGCCCTGTCTTTCATTTTAAGCAGCTCCACTGAACTTAAAAGTTGCAGTAATCGCAATATCCATCTTTTTGCCATACTCCCTGGCACTTTCTTTTTGCTGTCATTATATTTAAATCCATTTTTAAAAACCTCTAAAAATACAGTATTATCTTGAAATTTTTCTCTTTTACACACCCACCCACCCCACAAAGACCTTCACCTTTTTCCTGATAGCCAAACCTTGCCCTGACCTTTCCCCCCAATGAGTTGCCTTTTGGTCACTGAAAACAGACTCCATCCCAACATGCAACGCTAACAGAAAGTATTGCTCCATTCATTGCTAAGGAAAGCTCAAGGGACTGTATGTGTGTATAGAGTTTGAGTTAGAGGCAACACTCAAGTCATAACTCAAGTTAACTTCGCAGTGAAGATAAGCCCTAAATGACTTAGGCATTCTTGAAAATGTTATCCCATATCTTATTTATGAGACTGATCAGTAAACAAAGTTCCCAAATAAATATGCCTATCCTCTAATCGGTCTTTTTATGGAGGCAAGAAAAACAACTTTTCTGTTAAAGTAGAGGTTGGGATATGGAGGGCTAGTTTTCCTATTATGGAGAGTCTAATAAAAGTGAATGGATTATACTGCAATTTTAAAATTTTGCTTTAAATATTGTTTTAAACAACATGTTGAACATGGGTATGATAAACATGGCACTGCTCTGTAATAATTTATTACTATTATACGTTGACCTATTTATAGGGATGTTTATTATATGAATATGTTGGTTTATTTTAATAGCAGGCTACAAGGAAAAACAAGCAGGAAGGGATGCAGGATAATTCAAGATAAGACACCCTTTGGCCTTCTGCAAACACTTAAGGGTGATGTTACAGAGTACGGGGCAGAGGCACTGACTTTGAGGAGTGTGGCTCAACCTCCTGTTAAGCCTACCAGACTGGCTTTGTCCAGGAAGGCCAAAGCATGGGAGCTGACAAGAACAAAGCATCTCTGGTTGCATTAAAAGCTCCCCTCTCTCTTGGGGAGGTAATGTTGAGGAGCTGTTTGGAAAAAACAGACTGACAGGCATCTGCTGGGGTGTCTGAAGAAGCTAGTCCTGCCCAGGCCACCATTACAGAATGGAAGGTCTTCAGGTAAGCTAGACATGCATGCAGATTTATTGTTGTTTTAAAACCCTTTTTCTCTAAATGCTTTCTTCCTACCGGTAAAATAAACAATACTTTGCTTTTAAGAAGTCTGTTGGTCAATACAACCACTACTGGTCTCACACTGCCAAAGAGCCACAGGTACCAAACCTAGTTGGATTTGACGAGCAAGCCCAGAGACTATACACATGGTACTGTATGCCAGGGCATAGTCTAACAATGGGAGAATTGCTAAATTCCACCCAAGGAAAGGTAGAGGCAACCTGACCCCTGAAGGAATGCACTCAGAGAGATCAGGAAGAGGACAGAGGTGCAGCTAGCCCTGTGATGCTGACATTGGGAAGTACCAGGAAAAGATTGAAATAAATAAGAAATGGTGCCCATAAACAGAGAAACGGTGGTCTCACCTCACTCCTCAACACAGATTTCATAGAAGAGTGTTGCTGTGAGTTCTCATCCCCAGTATGAAGTACTGTCTTAAGTAATTAAGAACTACACCAGTAAGACAAACAACATATACTTCATGATGCAATACCCTGGATTTTTTTATGTTTACTTATTTTTCAAATACACAAAATTAAGGAATTCACAGTGGATGTTCCAGCCATTAGAGCCAATAAGTGTAGAATATGGGGTTTTCCTTCTCTTGCTTTTTATTTATAAGCACCTATGGACCATTCACTTGATGAACTCAAGTAAATCTGTACCTGCTGAACTGTTGCAAAGTAGATCTTAACATATTCATGATTTATTTGAGAACTGGTTTCTTAGGAATTAACTGTGTCAACCTGCATTAGAATAATCAAAACTGATTTTAGACACAGTAGACATCATTAAATAATTTTTTCAGTATAAATATACCTGAGCTTCACCCCTTTCTGCATCTCTCCTACATACAATTCTCCATTAGAGAAAAATGTCTCTGTAAGTAGGGTTGGGATATGAATGGGACTGGGTATGGATTTCCTTTCTATTTATCATTTCATAGTTTAATTTAGAGCTTTCAAAAATCCGTTTGAACAAGTATGTATTGCACATATACAAATACCGATGAGTTTGATTCTACCTTTCCAAATATAGTGAAAGGTAATGGTGCTCTGTTTGAGCATGGTTTCAACAAGAAAACTGTACATAAATACAGCTGGATTTTATATTACTACAAAGCAGACAATTTATCTAACTGAAGGATAATTTGTTAGCATATGCAGCCCCTCCAGAATAGTTCTTTTTAATTTTTGAGCATGCTTGTCCCATTTGGGGTTATGCATTCTTGTGGTTTTTGGTTAATGAGAAAGTTAAATATTTTATCACCTGGCTGGCATTTGTAATAGCCAACATATAATTAATTTCACTCTGTTAGTTCACTGCTTGCATTATCAGGAGCAGAAAAAAGGTATCAAGGGCCCAGATCTGCCCAGATTTTGCTCCAACTCCCCACATAAACATTTCCTCCCAATACAGACCACCCTGTCTTCTTTCCCAGATCCCCTCCACATGAGCCTCTCTTTCACTGCCTCCTCAGCCTCGGGCTGTCCAGCTCATCCACCCACCTTCAAAGTCCCAGCCCAATTAGTGTTCGGAAACAAATTTCTTTAAAAACCACCTCCTCTCTTCTCATTTTATAGCTGAGTCCATGCTCTTTACCTGCTCCTTAGTCCTTGCTCTATGGACCACATAAAGTGAAGAAAAAAAATCCATAAATACCCCCATTTAGTTATACTGCTACATCCTACCCCTGTCAGATCCCTCTGCATCAGCACAAGATGGGACCCAAGGGTGAGCCAGACACTCATTCCTTGCCCCAGATCTGCCTACAGCCTTCTCTTGAGCTGAGTGAGCCCCACCTCCTGCCAGTGCCATCAGTAGCAATCAGTTGTGTAGCAGGAGCCTTCTACCTCCTGCCTGTCTCCCACAGGCTGCTGACGCATTTTGCATTGGCCCCCTTGTTGAATCTTTATATTACAAGCTTCTGGACTCCTTCTGAGCACAGACCTGGATCCAGACTTAATCTGTCCATTTATTACAACTCATAACATAGTGTTGGCAATTCTATAGCTGAGGGAGAGATGACTCCTCTATTCTAAGGTTAGCATTGTCCCTTACATTCACACAGAGCAGTGGTTTTCAACTCAGGGTATGCGTAGCTCTGGGGGTATGCAGATGGCTTCTGGGGGTACATCAACTCATCTAGACATTTGCCTACTCTTACAACAGGCTACATAAAAAGCACTAGTGAAGTCAGTACAAATTAAAATTTCATACAATGACTTGTTGATACTGCTCTATATACAAATGTAAGTACAATATTTATACTTCAATTGATTTATTTTACAATGATATGGTAAAAGTGAGGAAGTAAGCACTTTGTCAGTAATAGTGTGCTGCAACACTTCTGGTATGTCTAATATTGTAAGCAAGTACTTTTTAAGTGAGGTGAAACTTGTGGGTACGTAAGACAAATCAGACTCCTGAAATGGGTACAGTAGTCTGAAAAGGTTGAGACCCACTGACATCGAGCTCCACTGAAGTTGCCAGGACTCTACATGGGCATAATCAATCATGCCAGCAGGTAATGGTATACGTTCAGTGAAAAAACTCCCTTGAAGTCTGGTTGAGAAACAGCTGCATTTGAAAGTAACATACTGCACCCACATACTACTTTAATGTCATTACCTTTTCAAGCACATATCTGGCTGCACTCTTCCAAATACATGCCCGTGCATGTTCTTGAATGAGAGATTTGTGCAATTTCTAAGACAGTTGCACTATTTGACAAGACACATTGAAAACAACCTTTTAATTCATTTTTTTAAAAGAGAAAACTAAATGTAAAGAATCTAGGTAAATGGCACATTTACTTATTTCCTGAAGGCCCAGCTAGCAGCTTCAAAGAAACAAGTAAATGCTGTATGCTAGCAGCTTCAAAGAAACAAGTAAAAACCCAGCCCTACCCCACAGCTCATCTGTGAATATGGATTGTGAAAAGAGCAGTGAGGGTAAACAAACAGAGAAAAAGGGAGGGGAATTGGAATGAGGAAGATAAGTATAGAATAAAGATTATGTGAATACACAGTAATTCCCAACTTCGCGCTTCTGTAACTTGGGGGATGGGGGTACATTTTATTCCCTACCTCCGTCTGACTTACTAGAGGCAAGATGACAGAAATGTGTTTAAGATGTATTTGAATGCAGAGAGGGAGGTGGTTTGATGAACAGGTTTGAAGTGTCAAACATAAAGACTGGAATTTCAGAGCAAACGTCACTATAGCAGTAACTCAGCCACTTGCACCTACTTGTTAAATGCCGGAGTCTGCATTCCTTGTGCCCAAGATTTTCCACTGATTTCTACCACACAGAAATCATAGGTGCACCATGAATGCACAACTGGGTTTAAGGCATTCATGTTAAAATTATATGTATTGACACAAATAACTCATATGCACACAAAGGGCTGGGGAAAGGTGACCATGTGCATCTTTGTTCTGAATGTCCTGACATGTGAGAGATTAAGATACACTTAATGCTTTACCAAAAGAATTTTATTCTGAATATATCAGAACTATTACTAATTTGCACCAATAACTGAAGACCCATTATGAATTACTGAACTCTGCAGGTTAATAAATACTACAAATTAAAACTGAAAAGACAAACAATGAGTCTAAGTTTACATTGTAGTAGCATCAGTTATTGATAACTATTCAAAACACACTAGTAAATATAATGCAGAAATAATAAAAACTCTTAACGTGAACCTCCCTACATTCTATGACGTTTTTACTGAGGAACGGCAAGAGCAAGCAACAAAAATGTTGTGCAGATTTATACAGTGTGCTGTTTAAAACACTTCTACTAAGACAAAGTATTAATTATTTGTAACAGTGAATTATTCTTCCATGACAGATCTTTGTTATTGTATTATCTAACTGCCTGATTTCTCTT